TGCCCGCTGGGATTGTTACTGCTAAATCATTCAAAAGGAAACAATTCATCTGGTAATTCGGCAGACAATTTTCCACAATTAGAAAAAGGAAAAATTGCCGGAAACTTGTCTATCGAGGAGTGATCTCACTCTTGACGTCAGCTACCATATATTAGAGGGCAAAAAATTTCAAGATTCATGGGACATCGAAATTTAGTAAGTCGTGAAAATAAAATCAAACAATGACCAAGTGCACTAATTAGATTGATTTACTAGCTAAACACCACAAAATGAATAATTACCTATTGGGTCGAAAATATCTTACCTGGCACCGAGCCTCCATCGACCGCTGGTGATACCCCATACCGAGCCGGCATTGATGCCAAACCATCCCCACCAGAGAAGGAATGTTCCTAAAAACGGGTTTTTCACTTCTACTTCAACAAGTAAGCTCGAAGGCTTCATCGAGAAGGCAGTTGAGGGCACAATGAAGTAAATAAACAAATAAACAGCAAGTAATTATGTGTGCCCACCAAGTAGAGCGTTGGTTGGTGAGCTCATCTGGTGCACACTGTCCTCGTTGAAACGATTCCTTCGAGGTTTTAAATAGACGGTGGCGACTAGGCCGATAATACCACCGACCATATGTACCTTAAAAACAAGTTTTGAATGATGACAGCTCCTTCTGGGATGCGCCATCGCTTCAATTTCGCGAGGGTATTTGAAAGGTTATCGAGTTAGAATGACTCATTGAAGCTAGAGGCAGTATTAAGATTGGCGATTCTGGTGCACCGTGTAGGTCAAATGACATCTAACAAACTTCAGACCAGTCCAAAAGTCCAGAGGCCATGGCGCAAACCGATTTTTCATAGTGTGGAAACTGATTGCGGCGCTAGTAACTACTAGCACAACTTATAAGGGATCTTTAGGGAATTGAAAGGAGCTCCGATATATAGGTGATCCAACTTTAAGACGGTAATTCTCCCTGGATGACGTTGGGCCCCGTGCACCCTTCAAATGTCCCATTCGAAGTTATTAAAGCCGTAAGTTTGATGCTTTTCGGGACTCAGCGAGCTTGTTGGATGTAACCTTCAGTGGTGGCCATTGAATAGGTCGTTTCCCTCACCAACGTCGATGTTTTATGACGAGGATAAGATAGCTTCTAGGGGGAGCATTCTGTGAGTTGTTTTGCAGGGCTTTTGAGGTCTTTACCCAAGAAACGCCTACGTCATAACTCAAGCTTTGTCATAAAGTGTGGAGCAATCATAGCGTGAGTTCCTCAGAAGCAATTTATTTCTTGCTGTTTTTTCCCATCAACAATTTGCAAAAAGCCTCACAATTCGCAAAAAAAGCTAGAATTGAATGGCATATGGGCATAGCTTTGCTTGTGATTTCCTGACCCCTCAAAGCAAATTTTTCGGCGAATTTGGAACGACTTTTCATATCACACCTAGAAAGTGCCATCATCTACCTTAATACCTTTGACCTCTAAGTTTTTCTGGTAAAAAGTGCAGGGGAAGGGGGCTAGAGGTTAGTGGTACCCAAGTGGCGTCTCCCACTCCGGCCGCTGAGCCATACGGACATCCACACGCCTAACCTCATTCAAACGCGCTACTTGTACACGTCCTTTTCATTCTGGTTTTCCCTGCCTCGACTTTGTGATCACAACGGTATGGTAGTCAGGGCACGCCATCGTTGTGATATCACAACGGGGGAGGTCGTATTTGACCGCGAGGGAGGGGGTCGTATTTGGTCCGAGAAAATTTTTTGATAGTTGATTTCTCTTGTTTCACGGACGCTGTAAAGGGGGGGAGGTGGTGCCATTTGGTCGTTGTTGGGAGAGACGCAGCGGGGGCGTATTTTTTTTGCTTCAGAGAAATTTGCGGCCGTTGGAAAAAATCTTCAACCCCCCCCCCCCGTTGGAAGCACTGCCAAGATTCATAGAACTAGCTATTTCCAAAGTGTTCTATAGAACTTATTGGCAAGTGAAAAGATACCAGTTTCCTACGACTCCCCTGGCTCCAGCACGAAATCCTGGGAAAAAACCGAGAATTTTCGGGAAAAACTGGAAAAGGTAGGAAGTTGAGAAGTTGGGAAAATCTAGGAAAGTGGTAGGTAGGAAGGGGAGGTCGTATTAGATGTTGGAATCAGGGGGCGTATTTTTTAGGAATTTATCACAATACCCTGATTGGGGTATCCTGATTGCAGTATCGACGCTAGTACTAAATCCTGTGGATAGGTAGGCGGAGTTAAGAAACGGTACCCAGGTATCACCACCTTCCAGCTTTGTTCCTGTTCACTTCACTTCATTGTGAGCGGGAAATGTGGCACCCTACCGTAGCTGCGGACCCATTCACTTCGCACTTGGCCAGAATCAAAGATCCTACTTTCGTCACTAATTCGCCAATAATGTCTGAACGTCTGTGAGTGTGCGTCCGTCTGTTTTTCGCGCAATTTGTAGCACCATTCTCAGTAGGAGTGAGCGCTGGTTCCAAGAAGTGATGTAGGGAGGGGGGAATGCTATCGGTGTGTGACAGAAAATGGTATCAGCTGATAGGATCTGATCAAAGGCATCGGAAGGGGAGGAAACGGTCCTATAGCGTGGGTGTCAACAGAATCAAAACCAACTACATTGTGTTCTTCTACATGCTTACATGTATTACATTCATGTAACGATGTTGAGCGAGGAAACGAGGGGGAGGGGGTGGGGACGGGGACAAATTGTAAGCCTGAAACGGGAAAAATGATGAAATTAACATCAGATTGCAGGTTACAATCAAATCAAAGTGTGAAGGGAATGGAGTTCAAGGTGAAGAAATCGTATCGATGGTGGTAACCTCCACATAGTGATGGCCCCCCTGTGATGTACGTCATCCGGATCCATTCTTGCACAACGACTTCTTGGAGTAGGTTCTCCAAGGTGATAAGCCGAGAATCGACTCGTATTGAAGGAAGAAGATGAAAAGGATGAAGTAGATGAAAAATTCGAGCTATTAGAGGAAGGTCTTACAGCTGAGCAGCCAGCAAAATCCACCACGCCCATCTTGTAGAAGAAACCCTCGCTGTCCCAGACCCAGTGTGCAGGGAGCGCCTAAAATA